CTTCCTAGTGTTAGATAGAAGAAAGGTGAAGCTCTTATGCTAAGTTTATCCCGTGTTCTAAAATTGTAAATTGTTTCAATGCGATTACCGAGAACTTTGTCAATTTTCCCGATATTTTTTGCATATTTAATGAGGTAAAAAGGTGTATTTTTGTTTTTTGCGAATTTCTCGAAGGCGTTGAATTCTTAGAATAACATTTTCGAAGATAGCTCCCTAAAAGCGTTCTTGAGGCAAAGTTTCAGGGTTTTCGATTTTTCGAACCTGTCCAGCGATTCTCGATATTTGGAGTCAGTGACTCTTAATAAGCAAAGGAAGCAGTTAAAAACTGAAAACTCATAGAATTTGATAGAAACTTAATTTGTTTATACTATCTAGGGGTAAAAAAAATATTGATCAGGGAATTTCAATCTCAATCTTAAGCAATGAAACACAAGTTAAGTAATCAATGTCATAGTTCGCATATTATTATTACATTTCAGCCTGTAGGTACCCTGGGAAAAATTCAGGAAATCGTATTTAACTTTGAAATTTTTTGCATCCAAAATTGCAACAGTTGGCAATATTGCTTCCTTTGCATAATTACTATAATTTTGTCATTAGACCATTTGCATGATTGTTTCATATAACTGCAAACTACCAGGATTCTTTAATAATTCAAGGATTATGAAGACTTTGATTCTTTGAATCTCTTTGAGATCACTGCATTTAAATAATCAACTTATAGGGAATTAACAGGAATTCTGGTAGTACTTTAGTCAAGTGAAGCCATTGTAAAACATCATTGGTCTGTTATAATCCTATATTATTGACAAAACAAACAGCAAGCTCATTAGCACAATTAACACCGTCCTTTAACCAGGCTTGAACTAGCATAAATTGAACTTTCTCTAGCATAAATCATTCTTAGCCAGAGACTAAGGGCCTGTTTACATGGAGTGGGGGACCCCAGTCTAGTGGGGTTGGTTTCTTTTGTTTTCACGCTCTAGGGGACACAAAACAAAAGAAACCTACCCCACTAGACCGGGGTCCCCCACTCCATGTAAACAGGGTCTAAGGTTAGTATTTCTGTATTGGCATTGAAAAAAAAAAAGTCAATTTGAATACTTTTTGGATCACCTTTATATAGAACCACAAAGAAAAAAGTTAAATTTTAAAATCTATCTCAAATCTAATTTTTTCGCATACTACAAGGCATAAGTGCTTGCTACCTACTAAAAAGGAAACAAACAGAAACAAAACACAACCAAAAAAAACTAGAAAAAAAAGCTTAGGGTTAACCTTCAGTAATACAAAGCTCTGGGTGTCAACTCAGGGACATTATTCAGGTCAACTTTAATATTTATTTCATATCTTATCTATATACTTATTTAATAGCGTTTAAGGTCATCACTGGTGTGTTTTTTTTACTTCCAACTTTGATTCTAGTCCAAATGTAGAAAAAAAATTGGCTTTCACAGTTACATCTTAGCAACGGTTTTTCCATGGGAGAACAGAAAGAACTTTTGGAATAGCTTTCAAACATCCTAGGAGCGTATTTAAGAGAGCAGACTATTGGTTACTATCACATTCTCTATAATTATGCTCAGATTATTATTTAATAATATGCACGTCCACATTTCTTGGTGTTGCAAAAGTTCCTTCGTAAATATCAGTTGTCAGTTTGTTTGTTTGTTTGTTTTTTTTTTTCACTCTAGGTTCTTGCTCCTTAGCGAACTAGCACGCTGCCAGTTGCAGCTAGTAATGTGCCGTTATTAAAAACTCGCAAAAAATTAGGGTTATTACTAACTATTTCTCTTTTTCAGAATTTTATTGTAACACCAAGTAAAATAGGGCTGCTATGTTTTTAACGTACTAATGGCCCAGGGACTAATGGGCTTGCATTTTCTACTTAAAATTTAAGCTTCTTATTTAATTTCAGATCCTAGGTGGCACACTCACAAGATTAGGAGCCCATCACTTGGGAAAGGTCATGTTTAATCTAGCCAACCTCGCCCCTTCGGGGCTGTGGAAGCTCTGCCTCTGAGACGGTGTGTTTCTTATGTCTTCCGAGATATTTCAACGGAGAAATCCTGGGAATCTATCTGATTCTGTAATTCTTGCTGGGGGCAGTTGGGCAGTTGGAAGATTTGGCCGTTTGTTCCCAAGTGGGGAGGACAGTGTGGAAGAAGGTAAGAGTTTGCTTCCTTATGTTCTTGGGGTTTCATTCATTTTGTCATAATACTACCCACACCTTTTTCGAAATAAAAAAAACAGTAAGGTGCTTGCCTGCAAACGATGTCTGGGAATGTTCCACTGCGGTAGGATGAAAAACGGCGGTGCTAACTTTGTGCCGGCTCACGGAGTAGGTGTGTCGATGGAGGATTCGAGGACAGAGGACTGGACACTGAATCTCACCGGTGTGGCGTGGGTGGATTTTTACAAATGACATCAAGTTGAGCTGATAGTCATAAAAAATCTCTCTAATGGGGGGCAACTGGTAATGGAGTTATCTTCTAAACCT